AGGAGCAAGGCAGGTGTGGAGTCAACACCTGGAAAGCAGCCAAATGGAAACCTAGAGCAATAGCTCAGAATGTCATATGTCAAATAACTTAATTGGGTAATCATCTGAAGAAGGGATCGTGCAAAACACATGCGGGAAGCCTGTACCAAGAGTGTGAGGCACTAATCTAAGAAGACGGTTCAGTCTGCCCCAGCCTGCCTCAGCCTCACCCAGCTGCAGGCCCCGTGACCTGGCAGGGTCAGTTCCTCCCAGGAGATGCTCTGGAAATGGTCCTAGCCATCCCCACCTGAGGGCCCTTGGCAGGCACACATTCCTGGAGCTGCAATGGCACCCCTCCTGAGTGCCCACAAATGTGCACAGTCCTAAACTATAAGTGACAGTGTAGCGTAGAATACCTGTTCACCATTTGATTCACACTGCATGCATTGAGTCTTGGCTTTGCTGATTATAAACTTTGTGACTTCCGTTAAGTTTCCTGTGCCTCAATTTTCCCATCTGCCAATGGGATGATAATAGTTTCTAGTTCCTAAGGAGCTTGTAATAATTAAATGAGTTAATATATGTAGAGATTTTTAAGATAGTACCTGGCCTATTAGTAACTGGTTGTTAGACTTTTCTTCTGGTGCCAGTTTGTTTGTAGGTTCTCTGCCAGGACTCTCAAGTGCCTGTTTCCCACACTATATGTTCCACTTCTGCAGTGTCCTCTCTACCCCAACCCCAAGCTGACCTGCTTCTCTGGGCTCAGGTGGTTGGCAGGGCTCTGTGTCCACTCACATGGAACCCCACTCTCCTGCCTGCCTGCCCTGGCCGTTACTGACCCCTTGGAGAACCACGAGTGGGATGGGGACCTGAGTCTGAACTAGCTCCCCATTAATCCACGCCCCTTGGGTGCTATGAAAGAGACAAGGACTTCCTCTTTGTCAGCCAGAATCACTTGTCCATTGTACCCAGCCTCTCTACTCTCCTGTCTCTGGACTCATGTACCTCTGAAGCCCACTGCAGAACCCAGGGAAACCATCAGGACTGAATTTGAGTTTAATGAACATTTATGGAGCAACTAGTAGGTGTCAGACATCATGTTAAACACTGAGCGGTCACCCCAAAGAACAAAATACAGTTCTCAACCTCAAGCAATTCACCAGCACACTGAGCTCAGGACCAGCAGGGATAGCACAGTGCATGGTATACATATGCATTTTTAAATATTTACAAAGAAAATTAATCATTGACCATGTAAACAAACTAACACTTTCAACCGCAGAGGTGAACCAAACCCAATGTTATACAAACACATATGATTTTGCTCTTCTAGAACCCACTGTTTCCTGAAGAGGTCCTCTAGCTCACTCTCTCTCCTGGCATGGAGCTGAGGTCTGATGGAAATTTGCCTCCAGAGCCAAATGGATGAGAATGACTGCTCCCTCCTTCTTTACCTACGGAATTCCTCTGCAACATTTGAGGACCAGCCAAATGTCATCTCTTTCGTGAAGCATCCCTGCTGCCTCTAGGGAAAATAAATTTTCCTTTCCCTTGTTTCCTGTAATTCTTTGTCTCTATTAAATCTCTTATTTTCTTTTAACTTTTATTATATTTAACTTATATTATTATATGTGTTTTGTTCTTTGGGGTAACCTCAGTGTTTAACATGATGCCTGGCACCTACTAGTTGCTCTGCAAATGTTTGTTAACTCAAATTCAATCCTGGTGGTTTCCCTGGGTTTTGGAGTAGGCTCTGGAGGCAAATTCTACTTTTACAAGCTTGTTGCATATTCAGGGTCCTGACCCTGATACTAGTTTGTCTAGAAACAACTGAATCCAAAATCTAGTCCATAGGAACCTGTGGCTCGAGGGCTTCTACACGCCCTGGCAGTGGGAGGTGGGAGTGAGATGCCCTTGAATTTCCAAACTCTCTCAGCTCCATGCCAGGGGAGGGAGTGAGCCATGCCATAAGGGCCAAAAGATCTCTTCAGGAAACAGAGGGTTCCAGAAGAGCAAAATCATGTGTGTCTGTATAACATTGAGTTTGGTTTACCTCTAGTTAAAAGTGTTCTAGGGTCAAGGAATTAAAATTCTGAGCTGAGGGCAAAGACCCAGGTCTTCACAGTGAGTACACAGTAGGACTTTCCCAACTGAGTGACAATTACTTGCCAAGTACTGGCCTAGAACACACACATGGATCTGACATGTTTCCTGCCCCCTCAAGAAATTTGTATTCTAGTAGGGCAGACTGATATACAAATAACTGAAAACATAAAACAGGAAAAAGAAAACAATGGAGCAGAAGTGTGTGTAAAGGGTTGGGGGGAGGCTGAGAAAGGAATGATCATTTCATCCTGAGGGGATCAAGGAGGGCTCCACAGGGAGGCTGCCCCTTGGCGTGGGCCTTAAAGGCTAACCTGAATTGCGATGGTGGAGAGTGAGAAAAGGGGAGAATGTGGGACTTTAAGGCAGACAGGACTATATGTGCAAAAGCATGGAGAAGAACACCTGGTGTACTTGGGCATGGAGAACAGATCAGAATGTTGCTAGAACATTCAATTTTGGAGCTGGGCTGTGGCGAGCTTAGATCTGTCCACGTGCTGGACTTGATTCTTTAAGCCATAGAGGGCTGCTGAAGGCCTTGGAAAAAATATTTGAACTTAGATGCTCTGTGCAGGAAGGACCATTTCTGAGTAGGAACAGGGAGGTAAATGGAGTCCTGCATCCTTCAGAAATGTGCCAGCCCCCAGTGTCTCTGCCACTGTCGGTTTCAGAGATGAGAAGAAAACAGGAGTCTCTCTGCTATTGAAAAAGGCAAGTTGAAGCCCAGAACTGCTACAGGGCTCTGGCGCAGTGGTCCCCCTGTAAGACTGCAAAAGCTTGGCTCTTCTGGGTGATGAAGACATACATGTCTGCTACAACAGCTGGACGCACCGCCATAAAGATGAGGTTGGATGCGCTCTCCTTTGCCCGCGGTAATAGTGGGACCCGAAAAGGCATCGGGAACACTCTGTTATCAGCTTGTAATGCTGAACCCAAATGCTGGCTTCAAAACTGCAAGATTGTTTTTCCAAACTAACAAAAGTTGCTGCTCTAAATCCATGATTACATGTTCCCCATATAACGCATGATTTACAAACACTGATTTATAAATTCTATATAAATGTAAATCACACATCTATACACAGTATGTTGCTGAAGGAAACTAGAAATGTTTTACCCCAAAATATATTTCTGTGAACTAAAATAAAAATTTTAAGGTCCACCCCCGCCCCCACCAGCTGACTGAATGGACCCTCTCATGGCCAAAGGAATATCCTAAATTGCCTGCCAGAAGAAAGGAAGTCAGACATGCCTTATCATGCACGCTGCCTTCTTGGGGACATCCTTTGTAACCCATTAACAGGCCTAGGGTTATGCAAGACAAACCTGCAATTTACACAACAAATCTAAGTATATAACAGCTTCTTATGTTAAAACATTTCAAGCCTCTAGAGAAAGCGTCATGTGTTTAACCAATTACAAGCCAAAAAATCTTTAAACCCACCTATAACCTGTAAGCCCACCCCTCCACTTCTGGATGTCCCATCTTTTTGGGCCAAATCAATGTATGCCTCCCACATATTGATTTATGACTTTACCTGTAACTCCTGTCTCCCTAAAATGTCTAAAACCAAACTGTCACCCAGCCACAGCGAGTCCACTTGCTCGAGGCTTCTTGGGAGTGGCTCCGGGACATGGTCCTCAAATTTGGCTCAGAATAAACTTCTTTCAAATATTTCAGAGTTCGGATTTTTCCATCTGCATTTCTTTGACATACTTTGAGATGGCTGCCATGAGTCTCACAGATAGAAGTAACACTGCAAAGCTGTCTTTTGGGGTGGGGGTGGGTGTTACATCTGTTGATAATCTGATCTGCGTTAATACAGCCAGGTCTATCCTTTCCTGATCTAGAAAAGAATAACGGAGAGCCTGACACCTTTACAGGTCTGAAAAGAAACATTTGCCATCTATCCTTTCTGAGGGCTGCTACCTGTAAGGTTCCATTTATGTAACATGACCACCTTTGCTAGCTACCCAAGCCTCTTCCTCTCTGCCTCCCCAAACCTGTTTTTCTGCTTTCAAGTCCCCAAGCTTTAAAAACCTCTGGGCCACATTAAGGAGTTGAATCTTCATTCTGAGGTTTCCCATGTGTACATGCTAAAAATAAATTTGTAACTTTTTCCACCTATTAATCCATCTGCCTCATGTCAGTGATTTTTCAATGAACCTTAGGGGGATAAGAGCCTTTGCTCCCTACATTGCATATTTACATATTCTAACACAAACTAGAACAATGTTCCATTACATACAATAAATCCAGGCAGCTCTTTTATCATTAGTGTCAGAACTATACATTTATAATTATCAGGCACCTTCCCCAAGGATCCCCTTTTAAAATTATATATACATATTTTGAACTCATCATGAAAAAAACAAGTGATTTTTTTTTATTTAAGAAAACTGCTCAAAATTCTTTGGCTCTGAAAGAAAATGCAGTGCCAAAATTTTGCCCAATAAGATGACATTTTAAGTAGAATCTGAGTCAAGGCCAGAGGAAGGTATACTTGTTCTTTGAGTCAGCAAAAAAATTCAGGTTTTGGTGTCCAACTCTCCATTAGTCACTGGCCTGAATTGGCAGGAGAGCTGTCAGCACTTTGGAGAGGACCAGAGGAGGCCAGAAGGTGACAGGTAGATAATGAGAGAAAAACAATCTGAACTATCTCTCAGGCCAACTCTGAACACGTTGGTATTTATTATTTGGAAGTAGAGAACATTCCCATTCAATATCTCCTGGCTAGCTACTCTTCCAGCTCATTTCTCTGCCTATGGGATCATTTTCCTGAACAAGACCGTAAAATCAAATGTCCCTTTCTTGGACCCAGTCAAGAGTTAGCCTCCAGTCAGCACGGGCAGCGGAAAGAACTTATTCCCCTGCATGCGACAGCCCCTCCCTGAGCGCTGGGCCCGCGTGGGCTCACCGGGGCCTGCGGAAGGTCAGGCCGTAGTGCTGGCAGGCCAGCCCCACGGTCGGTGTGTACACGATCGGCATGAACTTCTCCACGTCCGACGTCAGCACCCGGTAGAAGAGCTTCTCATTCCGATCTTGGAGTGTCATGAGAATGATGTACCTTGGAGAAGGAGAGAAGCAGCAAGCTGATCACAGAGCCCCACACATGGCAGCGTGCAGGTGCTCGAGCCCCTGTGTAGAAAGGGCGCAGGACCGGCACTGCCTGCTCCCGCTACAAGGGCACATTCACGGGCAAGTCACCCATCTGCCCTGAGCATGGGTTCAACAGCCAAGAAATGTCCAGAAGATGACCTGCTTTATGATGCTTACTATTATAGCACATGGGTGGGTACCATTCTAAATATTTTACATTAACTCCTTTAAGACTTCCAGTGATTCGTAAGGTAGGTACTATAATTCTTGCTATTTTAGAGGCAAGGAGGCTAATGTTCAGAGAAATGAACTCACCCAAGGTCTCATGGCAGAGTAAGGATTTGAACCTAGGCAGTCTGATTCTGGAATCTGTGCTCTCAGCCACTGTGCAAGAGAGCTCATTATGTTACCATATGGACATTAATGAATGACACAGTAACATAATACTACTTGGGGGTGGAGTAGGGTCAGGGAAAATACTGGGCATCTGGCCTTTCCTACCCGCCAGGGCTGCTTCCTGTCACAAGCAGAGTGCACAAGTGGCTGAGTAGCAAGTAACCTCAGGAGATGTGTTCCAAAATCTGTTTTTTTGCCTCTTCCCTGAAGCTTGAAATCACTACCCCAGGAAAAGAACCTTCCACTCACACTCCTAAAAATGCAGAGACCTCTGCTGAGAGGAAACCCAGAGGCTGAAATTCACAATGAATTTCACAGGTGTGACTGCTAATATCACAACTTTGCTGGATGACAGATTGGGAGAGAGTACAGAGACACTTGAGGCCCTGGCATAGGGTGGGATGAAAGAGGTGCTCTGATAGGAGAGAAAAGCTGCTCTGTGGTGAAATGATCCCTGTGCATGGCATCAGGGTCCTGGGTTTGAATCTCAGCTCTCCTGTTTACTAGCTATGTGACTCTGGGAAAAAGTCTTGTGACCTCTTCTTCTCCACCAAGGTGCTGGTCCAGAACTAATTAGGCTGTGTTCTGGAAGGTGTTTTTAGGGAGGATTTATACTCAGGAATAGCCAGGATCTCAACTCAACTCATTGCCAGTGTAAGGACTCCCTTTCCCTAGTAGCAGTTTGTGCACATCTCTTCCCAATTCTACATTCAGTTATGTCAAATTGATGACTTGGGATCAGCCATGATGAGATTATTTACACTATAGTAATTGGCAAATGCTATAAATTCCCTACCCCTTACTTCACACAGGGAACCAGTTATTAGACATTTATCGGCATGCCACTGCCTTGACCCAAAAGAAGCTGGGGAGCCTTCTTAGCACTTCCCCAAGCATCTGCTGAAATGAGGGACTCTGGGAATGAGTGGCTGAAAGCAGTCAACACAGCATCAGAAGCAAGCTCTCTAGAGCTCCCCAGAATGGGCACATCCTCTGTCCCTGAGCCTAGCAGGTCTTCCCAGGCATATGAGTGAGGCCCATCTAGCTAGAAAGAACTGGGGAAGGAAAGATTTGGGACCTTAACTTTTAGAGTTTAATATTTTGAGGAAAAAGGATTTCACTTTGGACTTCAATTCTTCTTTATAAATTTGACAAAAGAGGGAGGTTCAGATTGTTCAAAGTTAGGGCATGTCTCATGTGATTAGTTAAATTCATTGTGTAAATTCTGGCTTGCTCTTCAGGGTGGCTTGGCTAAACCTACTCTGAGTGGTATAAACAAGAGGGAGAGAACATTTAGCTAGGGCTACAGTTGGGCCTTGGAGCTAATGTGCATAATAATACTGTGAGTTTAGAACTTTGGTGGGAGGATGGGCAGGTGCTTGCATGTTCACTACTGCTCAGAAGCAATAAATGATATGGGGAAGCATAGGAGGATGAGTGCAGGAGGACCCTGATATGCTGCTGAGCTCTGCCCCTAGGGGGACAGTCACACCCTCAAGGACCCGAAGTCTTGGCCATTTAGCTCTATAGATATATAGGGGAAACACTACTCTTCTTCCTGCATTTCTGCTAGAGCCTATAACAACGGGATATATTTATTTAACAAACTCTAACACAGTGCCTACTATGTGCCAGGCACTGTTCTAAGCACATCACAAATACGAATGCATTTAATCCTCATAATAATCCTATGAGTTAGGTGCCTTTGAAATACTCATTGCCTATATGGGGAATGACCAGAGAAGCTAAATAACTTTTGCCATTAGGTGGAAGAATGTGGATTTAAACTCAGTCTAGTACTAGAGTCTAGTGACAGCCACTAGGCTCTGCATCCTCTTAGCTGTGTTATAGCAGAGAAGCGAAAAGCACAGACTGTGGAGCTGCCATCTGTGTTCAAACCTTGGCTGTGCCCATTCAAAGCCATGGGACCGGGGCTTCTTTGGCGAAGCTACTACAGCAGATCTTGTGATTCTCCATTGGCTCTTTGGCTTTACATCTCCACTGGGGAGACTCCAGAGAGTGGTAGGGTTATTAACTGCTGCCTATAACCTCCAACAAATGACATCTACGTCTTTCCTAAAGTGTCCCCTGTTCATTTCCCTTCCTCCCCTACCATGTTCTCCTAATTGCAGGAACCTGGACCACATAACACTTCCTTAATACACCTGTCTCCACATTTTTGCTCCACCTCTTCCTTTTCCGTGAAATGCCCTCCCTGACCCCTATTGCTGTCTGCTGAGGTCTAATCAGTGCTTCGTGGGCCAACTCAGCCCGACCACTTCCCAGAGGACCTCTTAAATTCCACTGGTTAGAATTCCATTTCCCTTCCCAGTTCTCCCAGGACATGTCGGCTGTGCCTCAGTCACAACAAGCCTTGTCTCTCGGGGAGACCATCACTCCTTTATAAGGCAGGGTTGTCTCTAGGATCTCTCTGAGCTCTCTCTCAGCCTTTTCCCAGCTGGACAGTTTCCAGAAAAATCACTGTAGATCACGGTAAGCAGACAGCTCAGCCCAAGGATCGGGTAGAGAGAATAGACTTTAGGCACTGACTTGTCCAGGTCACTTTGCTGTCGCTCGTAGTATCTCATGATCCGGAGGAGCTGGACATCTTGGCTCAGGAAGCAGGGGGGGATCAGGCCGTGGATTCCAAGCTGCAGCCTTTCTTCAAGTGTAAAGGCCATGCCCTGGGAAGAACAGGAAACACACATACACATAAATGGATATGTAGGACACCAAGGAACAGAAGGGGTACCATCCACAGACAGGCCAAAGTCTGTGTGACTCGGTAGAAAGAGCCCTGCACTCAAATCCCACCTCTGCTATCTAAGCAGGAGGGTAACCTTGTGCCAGTTACTTTGATGCTTCTGAGCTTCAGCTTCCTCATTGGAAAAATATCTATAGCATCCATTTTTGGGTTTTGTTTTTCTTTAAAAAAATTTATTTTTGAACAGTTTTAGTACATAGATAGTATATAAAGTTCCTATATAACCCTTCACTCAGTTTCCCTAGTTATTAACATCTTACATTATTAGTATGGTACGTTAGTTAGAGTCAACAAACCAATAATGATCCATCATTATTAAGTAAAGCCTGCAGTTTATTGAGATTTCTGAATTAGTTTTTATCAATTTTTGTTTGTTTGTTTCATGATCCCATCCCAGATCCTGCATTATGTTTAGTTTTCATTGTCTCCTTAGGCTCCTCCTGGCTCTGACAGTTTCTCATATTTCCCTTGTTTTTGATAACCTTGGCAGTTCAGAGAATACTGGTCAGGTATTTTGTATGGCATCTTCTTATTGGAATTTTTCCAATGTTTTTCTCATGATAAGACTGTGGATATGGGTTTTGGGGAGGAAGATCATAGAGGCAAAGTGCCATTTCCATTACATCAGATCAAGGCTACATACAATAAACATGGTTATCATTGCTGATACAGACCTTGGTCACCTTGATCAAAGGGAGTGCTTGTCTGATTTCTCCACTGTAAAGTTACTTCTGCCCACCTCACCCTCCCAGAGTGCTAGGATTACAGGCATGAGACACTGTGCCTGGTCCATCCACCATTACAGTATCATACAAAATAGTTTCACTGCACTAAAAATTCCATGGGCTTTACCTATCCATCCCACTTTGCTCCCCCAAATCTCTGGCAACCACTGATCTTTTTTACTGTCTCTACAGTTCTACCATTTCTAGAATGTCATTCAATTGGAATCATAAAGTATGTAGCTTTTTCAGACTGGCTTCTTTCACTTAGAAATATGCGCTTAAGATTCATTCATGTATTTTCATGGCTTGATAATTAATTTATCTATATCACTGAATAATATTCCATTGTATATTTGTACCATAGTTTGTTTCTCCATTGACCTATTGGTTTAATGATTTTTCTCCATTTACTTTGCTTGCTTCCAGTTTTGGGAGATTATACATAAAGTTACTATAAATATTCCTGTACAAGTTTTTGTGTGAACATAAGTTTTTAAATCAGTTGGATAAATACATAGGAGAGTAACTGCTAGATCATATAGTAAGATTATGTTTACCTTTATAAGAAACTGCCAAACTGCTTTCTAAAGTTGCCGAACCATTTTACATTCCTACTAACAGTGAATGAACTGCCAGTTTCCGTTGCTACACATCCTCTTCAGCGATTGGTATTGGTTTTGGATTTTAATTCTTCTAATAGGTGTATGGTGGTATGTGGTTATTGTTTTAATTTGCAATTCTCTATTGACATGATGTGACCATGTTTTCATATGCTTATTTTTCATCTGTATGTCTTCCTTGGTAAGGTATCTATTCAAATATTTTGCCCATTTTAAAATTTGTTTCTTCATTATTGTTAAATTTTAATAGTTTTTTGATCAACAGCTACAATGCAGTCACTATTAAAATTCTAATGGTCTTTTTTTACAGAAGTAGAAAAGCTGATTCTCAAACTCATATGGAGTAGCAAGGATTCCTGAACAGCCAAAACAACTTTTTAAAAGATTTTAAAACTTATTACAAAGCTACAGTAATCAAAATAGTGTAATACTGGCATAAGAACAGACATACGGATCAATGGAATAGAATCAAGAGTTCAGAAATAAACTCATGCATCTATGGCAAATTGACTTTTGACAAGTATTCCAAGTCTATTCAATGGGGAAAGAATAGTCTCTTCAAGACATGGTGAATGACAACTAAATTTTTACATGCAAAAGAATGAAGTTGGACCCTTACCTTTCATTACATACAAATATTAACTCAAAATAAATCAAGAACCAAAATATAAGCCAAAAGCCATAAAACTCTTAGAAGAAAACAGAGGGGTAAATATTCATGATCTTGGATTTGGCAGTGGATTCTTAGATATGATACCCAAAGCACTAGCAACAAAAGAAAAAATTAGATAAGTTGGTCTTCATCAAAATGAAAAACTTCTGTGCAACAAAGGACATTATCAAGAATATGGAAAGACAATCTACAGAGTGGGAAAAATATTTGGAAATCATATATCTGATAATGGTTTAATATCCACAATAGATAAACAACTCCTACAACACAACAAAAAGAAATATAACCAATTAAAATATGGCAAAGGACTTAAATAGACATTTCTCTAAAGAAGAAAGTAAAAATAGCCAATAGCACATGAAAAGATGCTCAACATCATTAGTCAGTAGGGAAATGCAAATCAAAACCATGAGACATAGTGTGTACCACTTTACACCCACCAGAATGATAGTAATTTAAGCCCCATCCCCCTCACACAGACACAAACAAAACCTAGAACACAAGTGCTCGTGAAGATGTGGAGAAATTTAAACCTCTGCACACTGCTGGTGGGCATGTGAAATATTGTAGCCTGTATAGAAAACAGTTTAGTGGCTCTCCGAAAAGCTAAACATAGAATTACCATAGGACACAGCATTTCATTCTTAAGTATAAACCCAAAGGAATTGAAATCAGGGACTTGAACAGATACTTGTACCCCAATGTTCACTGCAGAATAGTCACCATAGCCAAAAGGTGGAAATAATCCAGTTATCCATCAATGTATAAATGGATAAGCAAAATGTATGTATGTATACGATGAAAATTTACTCAACTATAAAAAAGAATGACGTTCTGAGATGTGCTACTACATGGATGAACCTTGAAAATATTGTGCTGGGTGAAATAAGCTAGATACAAAAGGACAAATATTGTATGATTCCACTTATATGAACTGTGTAGCATAGACAAATGCATAGAGACAGAAAGTAGATTAGAAACTACCAAGGGCTTGGGGTAGGGGGAGTAATGAGTTACAGAGTTTCTGTTTGGAGTGAGAAAAAGTTTTGAAAATGGATAGTGGTGATGGCAGCATGGTATTATGAATGCACTTAATGCCACATAACTGTACACTTAAAAATAGTTAAAATGGCAAATTTTATGTTATATATATTTTACAACTTAAAAAAATTACTAATGTAATATACCCCAAACTGTTGAATTATACAACTGTAAATTGGTGAATTTCACGGTATATGAATTATATCTTTGTACAACTATTTTTTTAAAAGCATTCTTTGCATGCTTTGGATACAAGCCCTTTATTGGATATGTGTTTTATGTTTTTCCTAGTCTGTGGCTTGTCTTTTCATTCTCTTGGCAGTGTCTTTCTTAGAACAGAATTTTCTAGTTCAAGCACTGGCAGAGAACTGGGGAATAACTGGGGAATAATAATATGTTATGAATCTGCTCCCTGACCTGGGTCACAGTTAAGCCCTATGGAGACAGCGTTTACTGGTAGAAGTTGCAGGAACAGTTCTCATAAGAGACACTGTGAGGCTGGGCACGGTGGTTCACGCCTATAATCCCAGCACTCCAGGAGGCCAAGGTGGGACGATTGCTTGAGCTCAGGAGTTCGAGACCAGCCTGAGCAAGAGCAAGAGACCCTGTCTCAACTAAAAATAGAATAAATTAGTGTGCCTGTAGTTCCTGCTACTCAGGAGGCTGAGGTAGGAAGATTAACTGAGCCCAGGAGTTTGAGGTTGCTGTGAGCTAGGCTGATGCTATGGCACTCTAACCCAGGTGACAGAGCGAGACTGTCTAAAATATAAAACAAAAATAAGCGACACTGTGAGACATGGGGATACAAGCTGCCCTATCTTTATCCTAAGATGATAAGGTACAACACATGGTGAGAAACAGGGACCTTTCCTGTGTAAAACTCTGGGTGGCTGCCCTGGCACTGCTTAGAAGCCTCTGGAGACTTCCTCGGCATTGTTATAGAAGGCCCTGGCAAAGTGATAGTCCATAGTCCCCGAGAGGCTCCCTGGGTGGCAGACATCAACAGAGAAGGGACCAGGATCCCCATGGGGGATTGTGCAGGTCTGTTGATGCGACTCCTGTTGTAGTCAAGGCTGGTGATACCTGGGCCACCTCGGTCACACCCTCTATCTGTGATGAGTCTCACTCAAATAATGGAAGGCCCCTCCTAAAAGAGAAGAAGGCTGTGTGGATGATAAGTGAGACCTCAATTATGCTGTCGGCAGGCTAGCTTCCCCCATTCCCTAGGGGAGGGAAAGCTGCAAAGTTAGGGAGCATCAGAGCTCCCCTCATTCCTCCACCAGCTATAAATAATCTCATCTACAATGATCACAAGCTCTTTGACAGGGAGTTACCAACCAGGGGAGATTCAAATCCATACACTGACCATCCACACCCTAGAGTTGTTGTCGTAGTCAGCTCTAAGGAAGAGGCCCTAATGAATATCTAATCTTACTCTACGCTTTCCTTACAAACACATTGTGAGGGGGGTTTTACAACTTCCACTTTACGGCTAAGCAAGAGAAGTTACATGACGCTCGCAAAGTGGCACAGCTAGTGCTTGGTATTGTATTGCTTCTGTTTCTTTTTGAGACAGAGTCTTGCTCTGTTACCGGAGCTAGAGTGCCGTGGCGTCAGCCTAGCTCACAGCAACCTCAAACTCCTGGGCTCAAGCAATCCTTCTGCCTCAGCCTCCCGAATAGCTGGGACTACAGGCATGCACCACCATGCCCAGCTAATTTTTTTTTATGTATTTTTAGTTGACCAATTATTTTCTTTCTATTTATAGTAGAGAAAGGGTCTCGCTCTTGCTCAGGGTAGTTTTGAACTCCTGACCTTGAGCGATCTGCCCACCTCAGCCTCCCAGAGTGCTAGGATTACA